AACACAAGCTCTGTATATATATATATATATATATATATATAAATATATAAATATATATATATATATATATATATAATGCTATATATATAGGTCCTAGTCAGAACTGTAATACAACAGTCCAAAGTTAGGAAAAGTTTAACTTTTTTTGTTAGTGATTTCTGGTTTTCATATATTTTTTCAGAAAAAAAAAAAATCCTCTGCTAGTTTTGAGTTGAATGCTAGGCACTCAATTCTCCTAGGCACACAGGTGAAGAGAATCTGAGAGCAGATTATAAAAAATATTTTTACCAAAAAAAGTATAAGGCTTCTTACTTTCCATATAAATACTGCTATGAACTATTGAATTACAGAATCACAGAATGGCTGAGGGTGGAAGGGACCTCTGAAGGTCATCTGGTCCAACCCGCTGCTCAAGCAGGGTCACCTAGAGCCAATTGCCCTAGGACCATCTCCAGACAGCTTCTGAATATCTCCAAGGGGGAAGACTCTAAACCTCCCTGGGCAACCTATTCCAGTGCTTGGTCACTCTCACAGTAAAAAACTGTTTCCTGATGTTCAGAGGGAACTTCGTGTGTTTCAGTTTGTGCTCATTGCCTCTGGTCCTGTCACTGGGCACCACTGAGAAGAGCCTGGCTCCACCCTTCTGTATTTGTAGACATTAATAAAATCACCCCTGAGTCTTCTCTCCTCCATGCTGAACAGCCTCAGCTCACTCAGCCTTTCCCTGTAGGAGAGATGCTCCAGTCCATCATCTTCATGGACCTTTGTTGGACTCTCTCCAGTCTGTCCCTGTGTCTCATACTGGGACCCCCAGAGCTGGACCCAGCACTCCAGGTGTGACCACACCAGTGCTGAGCAGAGGGAAAGGATCACCTCCCTCCACCTGCTGTCAGTGGTTTGTCTAGTGCAGCCCGGGATACCATTAACCGTCTTCGCAGCAAGGGCACCTTGCTGGCTCATGTTTAGCTTGGTGAATTGATTGTCTGCTGTAATGGAAACACTGACAATACGGGATTCAGTTCCATAAGCAGAAATTCTAGAAAGTCTGAACAGCAGGATGATTTTCAGTGATGGATTGGTAATATCAAAGATGGAAATTTGTAGAACAACTGTAGAACAACTGTAGAACAATTTTAAACTTACCCTGTTAAGCTGACTGGACAATGAATGTATAGAAATTCTGAGAATATGGTTCCTTTCAAATGTAAACAACTTAATGAAAACCACCATTCAACTCCATCTTTACCAAAAACAATAGATATTTTTATATTATGGAGAGATGAGTTTATTGAACAGTCACTTAAACTTCCGTGTGCCAAAATTACATGTGCTGTGGTTTTACCCAGATTTTCCTGAAAAAAGGATATATTTTCTTTTACTGCTTTCAAGCCTCTGTGACCCCAATAGAAATTGCCTATGAAACAAAATTTGACACTAGAACTGTAAACATCAGAGCAAAAATATGTGAAAATTAATAAATGAGGCAGTATTCTAGTCAGCAGCTAATTTTGATAGTTATGCACCTGATTTTAGTGTTTTTTGTATTAAAAGATTTGAACAATAATCAATGAAATCACATATACAGGAAAATATGTACCATGAGCTTTAGTTACATTACCAAAATCACAGATTCCCTGTGAGGTTATGTATGACATATTTTATGTAGTCTGAGATTTTTAGGATCTCTTTTGAATCCCTAAATTGATTAGTGAGCTTGATCCTAGATCCATGCAGTCAAAAGTATGTTTGTCAGCATTTTTTTGTTCCCTTTTGAAAGTAGTAAGCTATAGGGGGATTCATGTACTGTCTCCATATGCAAGTAGCTTCTTGTCAGCAATGCTTAATAAAATAGAAAGAATAATATGTTCCTCAATAAAAGAATAAGCTGATCCACAGCTTCCTTTGTGGTTTCTTCATGTTTATTTAAAAGGAAGACAGGGCTGCTACCGACTTAGAACAACTTGAAACTGCTTTTCACTTTACTTTTTGTATAAGCAAAATGATCTTGTTTCACTCATTTCCTTAGACTTTTTTTTTTTTTTTTTTAATCAATTTAAAATCTCTCTACAGGCTGGAATTCTCTTTTCTTAGGCTTTAGTCATGTTTCTTTTCCATAAATGACTGACAGTTACGAATATCTAGTCTTTCCACTAGCCTCTTCCAGTGCTAATCACACACAGGACTTCAGTCCTTTAACTCGCATCGTCTGTCAGGAAGGAAAAGGTGTGTTACAAGAACATGTTTTTGTCCATGCCTGTTATGTAAAGATTTGCCAGTACGTACGTTTGAGTTTTGTTATCCTCCTGTACTGAGGATCAGGCAAGCTTATTCCATTATATGAAAAACAAAGTTGCCTTGGCAGTTTCTGTTTAGTTTTCTTCACAGTTCAGCCTTTTGACTCATGATGATCTTGTTCCATGAGAGGAACCAGGACTGACTGACCTCCGCTGGGTGTTTGGGATTTTGTACCATAGCAGCAGTGACTGTTCTGCAGGCTGTGCCCAGTGGTGGGGAAGGGGCATGAAGGATAGCAATTCCGTAGTTTAGGAACAGAACAGAATGCCCCGGGATATTTCTTCTGTCTCAACTTGTCAGCGCTTGTAAAACATTGCATCATGTATATCATCCCAAGTTTTCCATGGTGCTTTCATGTTGAATATCAACTCACCATGTTGGATGGCTTTTGGGAGCTGGTAGGTGGGGATTTGTTTTTCTTGACCAGAAAAAACTGAAAAATAAAGGATTGAAAGCAATATACAAACAATGTTGTTTGGAGGCAACAACATACAATGTACTGCAGGAAAAAAAAAATCACACAACCACAGACATTTGCATCCACAGAGATACTGTGGCTATTGCAGATGTTCGTGTCTTAGATTATGGTTATATCCCCAAAAGTTGTGTGTCTCCTGTTTTTTACACCCATATGTTTGCTTAATTCAGTTATAGAAACCTTCACTTTTGCTCTTTAATATTATCAGAAAAGTGTTCAGGAACTTTTTAAAGAAACAGTGGAGCAAACATGTATTAGGTTGTGATGTTTTGATCCTTCTGGGAAAAGGAACAACGCTGTGTTTTTTTCAGATTTTAAGTAGTAAAAAGAAGACTCTCATAAGACTCTTGTAGGCCCAAAATACACCAGTGGCATCAGTGAATAAGATGAGAACAAAATAAACTCGCCAACTGAGAAAAAGAGGGTTGCTTGTCAGCAACTTCATCTCCTATCACAGTTGCAGCCTTCTCCAAAATTCCCCAAATTCTTTTTTAGCAATCCTGAAAGGCCATTATGTTTGGGTTAGTCATTACTACTACACACTCAGTCTCTCACCCATTGTAGGTAATTTGTGTTTGCCATTGATTTCAGTGATAGTGAGATCAGATGTATAGTGATTAAGGACCTGGTTCCAGTTGCTTAACTTAAATCTGGGAGAACTTTCTCACCAGAAAGCCTGCTGAGTCAGTAGAGTAAATCTGAAAGTCAGTGATAATGATTCAGTAAGTGTTATTTGACCCAACTCAACTTGCCTATGGATTTTATAATTCTAGAAAACTTCTAATATGACATATAACGTAAAAATTTGTTTTATTTTTAAGTATGATGGTTTCACACCAAAACTGAAGGCTAAGTAAGGGTACCAGACATAACTTGGCTATTTGAGAGAAGATTTAGCAAAGACCTAGCTATATTATTGCATGCATGGAATAACTCAGAGTTACTGCTTAATATAAGAAGTTTGCTATAATTACCATGAAAGCAGCTGACTAATTCTTTTTTTGGGGGTTGTGTGGAGGAGTTAGATCTATAAATAATTTCTTTCTGATTTTGAGGGAAAGAAATGCTGGCACATACATCATCCATGTTCTGTTTCCCTTGATCCTGGATAGGATAGCATATCTAACCTTATAGATGCAAAGTTTTCTATAAAATTTCTACTTAATTTAAGTAAACAATCTCCTTGTTTAGGAAAAAACAAGACACAGGCCCAATTCTGATCATTTTAGGTAACATACATAAATACATCTAACATACCTTGGTAAGTAGGTAAGTACATAACAGTCATGTCAGTACTTTAGTAGCCCAAATTAGGGAGTCAGCTGAGAAACCTCAAAAATCCTGGTCAGAAGTCATTCTAATCAAATTGTAGAGATTTGATAAGTTAGCCTAGACGTTGTACTGTTGTGTTACTGTCACTTAACAGCTCGCTGGAGCCATCACTTGAACCCACTGAAACCCTGAAGCACTTCATAGGGCTTTTGGCCTGGAACATCTGCCAAAATGAAGTTTAGGTAACTTGTATGTGTATACAAGTTTTAAACAAATATTTATTTCTGTAATTAGAAAATAGATTGTCTTTCCATGCAAATTATTTCTGCTGTTATATTTTTTTCAAAGATAACTTTATACCTTGTTTCATTTTGTTGTCATTCTTCTGCATCTGTAGCTAGAGTTGGTACCTGTGAATACTGGCTGTTCCGTACTTCTCTTGCAAAGACAACTTTATACCTCATTTCATTTTACTGTCGTTCCCTCTGCTTCAGCGGCTAGGCTGGTACCTGTGAATACTGGTTGAACTGTCAGAAGGCAGGCTTTTAAGAAAATGAGTTTTGACATTCCTTTCCCTAAGATGATCCCTTGTTTTTCAATTACTGCTTTCTGACTTGGGAGATTTCTTAAGGTAACCCTGAGTTTGTTCCCAGGTTGTCAAGCAGGTGGCAGCAGTGCCACATCAGAGCAGCTCCCATCCCCTTTCCCTGACATCAAGTGTTAATGCGATTGACCAATCAGTGCTAAGATGATGGGAGGTAATTGGGTAATTGTATTTTACTGATCACAAGCAGAGAAAAGAAGGGAGGGGGTAGGGTTGGGGGAAGAAGGGGTAAAAATAAATAAATAAATAAATAAATAAAAAAAGCAAACGAGCAAGAAGGGAGAGAACAGACGGGGAAAAGGAGGAGTATAGCCAGAAAGATTGGCCCTGGGATATTTGCAAATCCTAGGGTGTCACTGAAAGGTGGGGAGTAAGAGAAAGCCAGAGCGACAGAAAAGCGGAGCTACTCCCAGCAACAACAAGAGCAGCTGTCAGGAACTGGATATATACATACACGCGTACGTACATGCACACACAGGGAGAATTCAAGCTGAAGCTAATGGGAGGGAGGAAGGGTTTCGGCTGTGCAAAGGGCTCTGCAATTCAGGGATGAAACTAAAAACTGAAAGAAGCGGCTGCGCTCCTGGGAATGTGTCATCTTGGAAGGGAGGGAGGCAGGAAGGAAGGAAGAAAAGGGGGAAGATAACTGGCATGTGGAAGAAGATGAGAGACTAACTCACTGCTGTGCAGAAGGGAAATCCAACTTGTAGATCTGAAATACACCAGGCTCAGCTTGGAAATAAGATCAGACCTGCATTGAAATAAAGAAAGGGAGGAAAAGGGAGGCAGAGACTGGAGAGCTTTTATCCTTCTTTCTCTCTATCTTTCCCTCCCTCTCTCCTCAAAGAAGAAATAGAAGTTTATCTGCCTCGGTGCTGCTGGATCTGTATAGCTGCTGGACAAAAGATGGAGAGGAAGCTGAAATGAAAAGCAAAGGGTGCTTGTGAATTTTACAGCTAAGAGGACAAATCACACCTCCCCGGTCTTCTTTTGTGCCCCATTGGGGGAGTTTTAACATCAGAAAGATTTTGAGAAGTGTGGGGGGCAAAGGGGAGAGTGGGCGTTAAAAACACCCGTCCCAAGTGTTTAAAAAATAACAAGGGGATGGATTTATTCTTGACAGCTGGTGGGAACCTTGAATTTTTTTGTACTCCCTCCCTCCTTCATTCCATTTAATGTGAGATTATGAAAATGCAGAGGAGTTGGAGGGAAGGCAAAAGGATATAACGTGGAGTTTGAAGAGAGGAGAGGGTGCTGATGCTGTGGATTGCTGGCTTCTTGCTGAAATCAAAAATCCAATTGCGCACTGGGTTGTGATTGGAAACCTAATCAGATCTTTGGAGAGGGGGGAGAGAGTCTAAAAGTTTATTGTTTTGACAGACACAAATAAAAATTTAAATGCAAAAGGAGATTATTTTCTAAAGGAGTGTGGGGGATAGAGAAAAAGAAGAATGGGAATCCCCGTTCTAATGTGGAGACACACGGATTGGATAATTGATAGTGCAGCAAAGAAGGGGGAAGAAGAAAATTGCCTGGCAAGACCTGGATCTTAACAGTCACAACAAAATTATATTAAAATGATACAGATGGAGGGTTGCTTAAAAAGAAATACAGCCCATTCTGCTCTCCAGAGAAAAAACAAATAGTGAGCAATGGAGAGCAGTGGAGCCAGAGAGGCAGAAAACCTCAGAAAAAGGAAACTAGGCAAAGGATCCACAGTGGAATGAAAAGTTTCAGAAAGGAGAAGGACCGTTCACTCTCTGCAAGGATTTTTGGGTTTTTTTCCTGTTATTTTAAACCATTCTTCTCCAGTGAAGGTGAACATCAATGCTACCACCACGGCAATTTTAAGCAGAAAAGTTGAAAGCCTCCGAGAAAATAAAGGACAGAGAAGAAGAAAGCAAAATTGCCAGAGGGGGAGAGTTCAACAGTGCTGGGTTGGATTGGCACCAGTATGGACTGAAATTGCTGGGAAATTGCAATTGGATACCATTTGTTGTTACTTCCTTTCTTGTTTTTAATTTTGGCTTGGTTGCTGAAATGAAATAGTTTTCTAACCCCTCCCCCACCCTGGTTTTTCATAACCACTCGGATTTCCAGCTGGATAGTCTTTGAGGATACAGTAAGTATACTTTCCATCTGATTAATTTTTGGAAAAGGAAATATACCCCATTGCCTCTCTTATTTCTTCCTTATCCCTCTTTTCTTGGTCTTTTCCCCCACCTGAATAAAGAATCTGACTGGGTTTTGATAATGGCTGGAGAGGGGTGGCTGGGAAGGGAGAAGGGAAGGAAGGAGGACAGAACTGAATTCTCACTGTAGCTCTGATGTTCCTATTAGTAAAACTCCCACCTTGGTAGGATGTTGCAGATGCCTGCCTGTGTGGCTCTATAGCATTTGTAAATGTTCACTAGCAAAGAAATCTTTTGAGAAAGCCCCTGCAGTGAGTGGGGGGTGCTGCCTGATTGCCCAGTCTGAACAAACGAATGCAAGTTGCATAGAATTGGATGCACGGAGGAGGTTCATTTATTTATTTATTTATTAAGTATTTAAAATAGAGAAGGGCTCCGACCTGAATGCTGGCATCCAGTCTGACATTGCAGATCAATATGGTGTATTAACGGGAAAATTTTATGATCAAGCAAGGAGGTGAAGGATGGCTTTTGGCAGGAGGGGGGGTGTGTGTGTGTAAGACAAGAGGGTTTAATGGATTTTGAGGAGGTAGCTCTGAGAGACACAGGCATGTTTTACACATTGCTAAGAGAAAGCAGTAACAGTCTGAGAGAGGACGTTCTGTTGAAGGGAGTTTAGGAAACTGATGTACTGGCCACTTGTGCCCTCCAGATCTCCTAGGAAATTCCTTGTGATTTTGTCGTGAATCCTTCTGGCTCCCCTAGGACTTTCATGGCACTTGAAGGAGATTTACTTTGACTGACAAGCAGTGAGAGGATACTGTCATTTTAGGAGGTTGTTGGTATTATGCCGATAATGAAAATAATTAAAAAGTGGCTTGTAGATGGTGGGGTTCACAGATCAGCAATGGTGTGTAACAGACCAGGAAATGTCTCTCCCTTCCTTAAAAAAATGTGGTGTGGGGGTGTGGAATAAGGGGAGAACAACACGGTGTTTAAAATAGAGGGAGAGTGCCACTTCCGTCCCTGCTCCTGGCGTGACTGCTGAGCTTACAGATAAGGAGTTTTCTTTCTTTTTCTTCCCCTTTTCTCCTCCCTCACCTCTGCCTTCCTCAACCTCGGCCTTCACATGTAGAGGCCCCAGATCAAACTATTAGGCCAAACCCGATGGAGGAGGAGAGGGAGAAGCAGCTAATTAAATGAGCCATTGAACAGATATGGATATTTTTTGGCAGGCAAGGTGCAGAACTAGCTTTGCCACTCATTTTACTTTTCTGTAGCTGCAATATTCTGGAGGAGGGGAGAGAAGGCAGGGATGGGAGAGGTGTTGGTGGAGCTGGATTTTAACGTTTTTTTCTGGCAGCGTTTTCCTCTTCACAAGCTTCCTGTGTGAAACAACACAAGCCAGAGCTCTAACTTCCCCGGATAAATACATAAATAAATATTAGCATCTTCCTTTTTTCCCCCTTTTCTCTATTCACTCCCATCACCACTGTTACTTCATGAAAACAGTCTGAATCTTATAATGAAAATGAGACCTTCTGCCTCTCAAATGTTTCCCATGTGCTTCTGTTTAGAGGTCATGCCTCTTAAACATTGGCTACTTGTAAAGGATTAAGATTTAGGGTGCAATTCTGCTCCTAAGGAGATCTCTGGGAGTTTTTGTTTGGCCACACGAACAAATCAGACCCTTTGTGCTGTTGTGTTTAGAAAAAGAAGGAATCAGGCACAGCAAAAATTGTTCCTTCCAGCTCCAGTTACTCTCATCTTAGTATAGCTAAATCGGTTTAGTATGAAGTGCTTTAGCCTCATTAATTTCTCTGGGCACATGTTTCCTGGTGGGACACGAAGTGGGTAATAAGTTTGTCAGCATCTGAAAATAAGCGCAAAACTCTGTTCTCCATTCCTTCATGTATCATTCTAAGTCTGTGTCCTATTGTGGGCTACACTTACATCAGCAGTTGCAGTAATAGAGCAGCTAAATTTATGTTAAGCTGCTGCTCAGTAATTACTGAAGGAAAAAGAAGCTGGCTAAGGAAAAGGCATCTCGAAGCTTTTCCCTGGATTGCTGTCAAGTGAACACATAAACAGGAAATTTGATAGAGCAGCTCCAGTTTTTGACAATAGAAAGATGCCATAGGTGCCTCATTCATTTTGTACAGTAACTAGCAGGAGGATTTTCTTAATGCGATAAGGAAGCACTGGGAAAATTTAGCCACCAGTTTGGGCTGCAATAGGCAAACCTTGTCAACACTGAAAAGCTAGGGATGCGTGTCTGCTTCTAAAGAGGCAACAGTTTCACACTTCAGTGAATCATCCACTTAATACAGTAGCCAAAAGACACATGGAACAACCCAGAGTTTAACTCATACAATCTCAAACTGGGAATGAATATAGTATTTCTCAACATTTGTGCTGGGGCTTATCCAGAGCCCAAAGGGCTGATCATAAAATAAATGGCCAAAAAAATCAATCCAAACATCCAGAATCCAAACATCCAGCTAAATGAGGAGCAACAAATCTTCTCAAGCAGAGGCAAGAGCTGGCTGGCTGTGCTACTTCCCTGGCATGCGCCTGAGCACAGGTGTATCATTCAGCAGCATATGCTGGTCCTGTGGGCTGTCTCCTCTTCAAACCATGGACAATCTTTATTGTGATGAACCCAGGCATTGCGCAGGGAACCATTATGTGTATATTTAGTCACCAAATGCTTGTACCGAAGGAAAAAGAAATCTCTATTGGAAGGGTCCTGCTCCATTTGTTCTAATTGTTCTCCAAAAGATCACGCATCTCAAACTTCAGGTATTCTTGGCAAACTTTAGGTTAATAATGTAATGTAGCTAGTCCTTGTCTTTTCACAAGTCAGGAATGATTTACACTGATCTAGAATAGGAGCAGGTTCAGTTTGCTGGAGCAGCAAATTTTGTGTCACAATATCTCCCAGCCAGATAGCACTGACAAGTGAAAAATGGACTTTTGGATTGGGTGAGACCCAAGAAAGAATGCTCTAGATGTGAGCCAATATAAGCAATCATATGGGACTGGAGGAAAAGACGGGGATTCCCAAGGTGCTTCCAAGGCTTCCTACATATAAGCTTTAATTTTTTTGCCTGTGACCTAAAAAGCTCTATCCTATTTGACATGAAGATTCTTGCTGTAGTAATATGAGATGGGAAGATTCTTAATGGGGCTCAGGACAGGATTTTCGCACATTGAGGGAGTTTGGTGCTGGCAAAAACTCACAAGCCAAGCTGTCCAAGAGTGAAGTTGCAATATATTCACTGAAGGAGTGCACCGTGCACAGCTGCAGTGTGCGAGAGCCTTAATCTTGGTCTGCCTTCACTTTGGCTTGGAGGTATGCTAGTGAGGGAATGAGTGAGAAAACGATGCTGGAATTTGTGCCACTTGCAGTTTGGGAGGAAAATTACTCTGAAGAAACGCAATTAGCACTCACTAAGCCATTTCTAGAGCAGTCAAGCTAATTGGACTTTGGGCTACTATTAGCAGGGGACCTCCTTCTGCATCCCCATCCATGCCCTTGTCAGCTTCTCTATGAAAATCGTAATGAAAAACAAGCCTCCTTCAGCTATAAAGTGCTGCCCCCTCAGGACAACCCAGATGAGAAGGATTTAATAACAGGAGCCACGGTGGTCTGGAAGGCAGCCTTGCAGCACGCTCAAGCCTAGCAGCGTGGGCAAGAAGCTGCCATTAGAAAACATCCTGCCTCCACTTCTTGTAACGACAGAAGACATTGGGGCTTGGCTTGTGACATTTTGCAGTGGTTTATTTAATGATGTTATTCAGAAAAGAAGGGTACCTGTTATTTAGCTGTACTATCATGGTCATTTTTTCTCTTGGGGGATAGGAATGGGGACACAAGAGGGCAGATAAGCGTGCTAGTGGTGTGTTTTAATTGCATATTCACAAGCTGCAATACATGGAAGTGAATTAATGTGTCGTTCCTGGTAGGGGGCCTGGATACTTTGCTATCTGTTAGAAGAAAAGGCAAAAATCAGACACTTGTGCATGCACACAATAAAAGAGAATCAGGATTTACATTTGGTATCCAAGGAAGCGAAAGCAGAATCCTGCAGGGCTTTCTGTTCATTGTTTGAATGTTGCCATAGCAATATCTCAGGGCACAAGTTACATGTTTTCCACTTCTGGAGTTGAGCTTTTCTTCCCTCTCTCTCTTTCTTTCTCTCGATACACACAACAACCGGGGGTATCTCCACAGAACTTTGCACAGCAATAGGTGAAAAGGTGTTTGAAGACTGTGTTATCCATTTGCACATGTCCGTGTGTTCTTCCCTGCCATTTGTTAATATGTTGGAAACCCGGTTAGGAGGAAATTGTTGGATAATAGTGGAGTGTGAGGCTCTCGTTGTTAGGACATTGAACATATTACAATATTTTGTGTAGTGGTGATATGTTAATTGGATAGCTGCAGGCAAGCAAAGTGTAGCAGTCGCTGGCAATTAGAAACAACAATGAACTTCCCAGGACTGAATCTATTCCTTGGGCAGATTAAAATGCATTTCAGGTATATACCAGAGCTTCTGTAAATTTAAATACTAACAGCACTGTAAGAACTCTTGAAATGCTGTTTTCACAGTGTTGAGACAAGATTTACCCTTGCTGCTTGTGAAAGGGAGAGAGGCAGCATCAGACCACTGAATAAAATCTCCTATAATATTTGCTGCAGAGCTTGTACTTGTTATGTCAGGACTGTGGGGATGCAGTATAACCAGGGAAAAGGGAGAACTAAAAAGGAAACCAACCATCCCCCAAACAACACAAAAAACTCCAGCAACAATGGTTTCACGTGCAACTAGATAAAGCTTACTCAAAAGTGTCACAGCAAGATAAGTTAAATGAATGAGGTTTTGTCTGCAAACCAGCAGCAGTTCAGAGCATTTAGTAATGCTCTTTGTGTCTGATGGATCTCTTTTCAGTTATTTGGCAGCTATGGGATCCATACAGTTCTGTG